GGGGGGGGGGGGGGGGGGGCAACCTTGCAGAGAAGGAGAACAGTTCTTCATTGACTGAGGCTGTGTCTGGATTTCCAGTTGTCAAGAAGTCTCGCGTGGAATGCACCGTCTCTCGGCTGTGACAGCTTTTTGAGAGCCTTCTCTCGATCCATAATATGGCAGTCAGACCCGCCGCTGCCGAGGTTTGCCATGTGGCGGCAAATCGTGATGACTGGAACATCTGGGTACAGATGTTCAAGGCAGGAGGTCTCAGATTTTGAAGGAATCTTGACCCTGCAGAGGGTTAGGAAATGTTATCGTCCGGTGCACGTCCGCAACCCTGTGCCTTCGAATTTTGCATGTCGCCAAGCTCAATGCCTCACGTATATCTGGGAAGAATCGCATGGCCAAGTGCAGCAATGTCCAATCTGGTCAGGAGTGCCCGTGGTGCTTATCTCCTCAGAATGCGCAGTACTGAGAACGTAGGTATGAGAGCCGAACGCCCTTCGGCATGCTCACGTGTCTATTTCACCTCCCATCCGTGTGTAGCTGGCCATTCGATATATCAGCTGGCTTATTTTACGCTGGGCACCAAACCATCTGGCGCCGTGCGGTTGCACACAAAGTAGTTCTCGGTGGGCTCTCGACGTCCTCCTATGCATGCTTGGCGGCTCCTTGCTGCCAGTGATCCTGTCACCTTGTAGCATTTTCACCTGCTCATGTGGTGTGGATGGCTGCACCTTAGACTACTGTAGCCCACGTGCCGAAGATGCCAGGTGGACCAGCCACACCCATGGCTTCATGCATGTTCGTACATCCCACGTACGTGAAACGTTAATGGAACCCACCAGTCCCAACCCTCCTGCATACACACCGAAGCCCAATTCAAGCCCTCGTGTTAGCAGGAGGGTAGGAATCCATGTACAGAGCGAGCGTGTTCTCCAGGAACTGCAAGGTTTCCGCTGCGACCGGTGCGTATGGTGTGTATGCATAGGTGTAAGCAAGAAATGCACGCCTGCCAACCGTTTAGGATAGGCTGCCCACTGACCATGTGTTTACATGAGTTTGCTGTTGTGACCCACTTCTTCTTGGAGGGTTAGCTAGAGAATGACAATTCTAATTTTGGAGATGGTGCCCGAGCCCTCGTCTTAGGGGTGGGGTGCCCGGTGTCAGCTTCCCTCATCAGGCTCCCTGACTTCAGGTTTAGGGTTTAGGGTCCAGGGTTTCAACCTTAGGGTCTGTACCTAAACCCCCAAAATATGTAAAATAATAGCCCTAAACCCCATAATAATAGCTCTAAAGGCCATTATTTTACATATTTTTGGGGTCCAGGTAGCCCCAACATATTATAGTAGGTTCCATTTTATTTTCCACTAACCCAATACATCCTCTATATAACCCCTATATAACCATTACATGAGCTCAGGTTCATGGTTAAGGGTTTAGATCCTGTTGATACTATAAGGGGGTTTACCAAAATTAGGGGTACCTACTATAANNAATGAAATGGAAACTGTGTTTATGTAGGGGATTATAGGGATTAGGGTTTACCAAAATTAGGGGTACCTTTTTGGGGGTCCCCACAATAAGGATTATAATATATTGGGGTCTATATTGGGGTCCCCTCATTTTGGGAAACTACCATAAAATCTTTCATGACCTGACGATGCCATAGTTCGCAAGGTATAAGGTGCTTAGGGTCATGCAGGATTTTCAGTATCCACCAGAAAAGGTTTAGGGTTCAGTAGTTGCAGCTTCCCTCTTGCCGCTCTGACGGTTGCCGTGTCCGCTGCCATTGAAGACTGGCTCTCAAAGGGAGCTAAGACGAAGCGCTGGCTGCAGACTCAGAGTTATCCTCAGGGTTTAGGGGTTTAGGATTTGGGGGTTTAAGGTTTAGGGGTTTAGGGTTTAGGGGTTAGGGGTTAAGAGTTTAGGGGTTCAGAGGTTTGGGGGTTTAGGGTTGAGGGGTTGAGGAATGAAGGGGTGGCAGATGCAGACTACGACATCTGTACAGGGATACGTGCAGGGTTTATTCCTCGAATTCCTAGTAAACATTAAATCTGGCAACCTGCGGCAGTTTCCGCCTTCTTTTCCTGATCTTAAGCCTTAAATCCTCAACCTGTAATGCGGTATCTCGTACTATGCATGCATGCATGCATGCATGCATGCATGCACTCATACATACGTACATACATGCATACACACGTCCATGCATGTATGAATGCATACATACGCCCATGCATGTATGCATGCATGCATACATATCTGTGTGTCTGTTGAAGACTAAGTTTTCCGTTGAATTCCTTCATCCCTCTTGACGCCAATTCCTCAATCCAAAGCCTGAAGCCCAGCACCCTCAACCCTAAACCCGGTAGTTTTTCCATTTGCTTTTCCATTGCCCTTGTGAGCATCGGCAAGTTGAGGTGCAGTATGGCTGATTCGCCGGGCCCAGATCCGCAGGCACCGGCTTTCTGGGTGTTTTAGGGTTTTGCGAGTCAGGGTTTGAGGGTTTCTAGGGTGTTTGGGTTCAGGGTTTAGAGGTTGTTGGGTTTTCGGATTTAGGGCTTTCAGGGTTGTTTGGGTTTAGGTGTTTCAGAGTTCAGGGGTTTTAGGTTTTTTTGGGGTTTAGGGTTTTTTGGGGTTTTGGGGCTAAGGGTTTGAGGGCTTAGGTTTTTCGGGTTTAGAGGTTTGAGGATTTCAGGGTTTGTAGGGTTTTAGGGTCTTGGGGTTTGGGGTTCAGGGTTTTAAGTGGGTTACATAACCACAAACCCTAAACCAGTGTTTAATAAGGATTCAAGTTCTAGGCGTCATTTCGGTATATGTTTTTGCATCATGAGGTTCCGCATAACCTGCTAAGCAGTTGAAGGTTTAGGGTTTAGGGTGGCCCTACTAGTATTCTGAGAAGCGCGCGCGCGTAAAAAAAACAATTCTGAGCGAACTTGCGGCTGAGATTAAGGCATGAGGTTAAAGATTTAGAGTTGAGGCTTCCTCGCCTAAACGGACAGTGGCTTTGAGAAGGGCCCAGCGCAAAGTCCTCTGTTGCCTGCAAGGATGAAGGAGATGAAGTTGATGATGTTGCCGCCTTAGCTTTCGCTGAGGCTTGGTGCCAAGCTGTGATGTATACATATATATATATATGTAGGAAAATATGTATATGTGTATATATATATATATATATGCACGTGCTCCGTTGCACTTGTATTCTCGCATAGGAATGTATACATTTTTATATGCTTACACATAAGAAATGTATACTCCACACACGTATATATGAGTATATGACATATAACGTTTGGATATATGTGTTTGCATATATGTAAAGTTGTTGGAGTGAACAGATGCATAGCCCGCCGCAAGTAGATAAAATACAATAGATTCCCCGCAACCATGTGAAGATCCCCAAATACCCCCATATTCTATCTACTTAAGGGGGACTGTATATGTGTCCCCTAAACCCTAAACCCTAAACCTTCACAGCCTTTGGGACCCGAGGGCGACTTCCCTTTCTTGAAGGCGGACCACCCGGCATACAAGCGGTCCCGCGCTCGGGGTTTAGGGTTTTAGGGCTTTAGGGTTTGGGTTTTCGGGTTTAGGGTTTTAGGGTTTACGGTTTTAGGGTTTAGGGTTTTAAGGTTTAGGGTTTAGGGTTTAGAGTTTTCGGGTTTAGGGTTTTGGGGCTTAAGGGTTCAGAGCCAGCTGTTGAGCTCGCCGAGCTCCTTTCTTCGGTCCAAAAACACAGATTCTTGCTCTGTAGGTATATGGTGATTACTCGTAGTGTAATTAGTAACGCTATCGCGTGCCCGCCTCGGCTGGCGGGGCGCGGAGCACACGAATAGGTCATGGCATGTAGTTGACACGTGGGGTTTAGGGTCGAGGGAGTAACCGGAGCAAGCCTCACATCAGACTGCATGCACGTTGCAGCATTCAGGGGGGGAGGGGGGGAGGGGTGGGAACAAGGTTTTGGACGAAAAATGCTTGCGTACTGCGACAGCTTCAAACCTGGGGCGAAGCTTGAATACGAGCGAGCAGGTCTTCAAAAGGGGGAGTAGGGGGGTTTTAGAGGGTTCTGAACGCCCTGAGGCTGGATAGCCTCGGCGAATTCGTAGCTGCTTTGCATTCTTTCACTTGCTAGCATCCAGCTTTGGAAGCGAAGGCTCCAGGAAGCCTGGCGGAAGCAGCTGACTGGTCATAACGACCGGGTCACCCTTCAGCTGCGAGAAAAGCAGGAGGAGACTGCTCAGTACACATAGATCCCCATCTAGCGCTGAGGATTTAGGGTTCAGGATTTGAGGGCGGGGTTAGGGTAAGAACATCCCCACCTCTCTGGTATTCAATATTCCCCACTTTAGCATTTTGATGCTAAAAGGGCCAGAATTTGATAATGAAGCGATGGGGGAGGGAGCTACATCCAAATCCAGATCATAATCATTGCCAATAGAATTGGTATTTTGCTACCAGTGTCATCCAGCTTCTCATAACTAGGGTAGATGTGATTTTTGCACAATTTTTGTTACCCTAAATCTCTATATGATCCTTGTAAAGGCAGAAAACAACAGTTTTATAGAGCCACCAAACCCTAAACCCTAAACCCCTAAACCCTAAACTCTAGTGATGTTCATGGCATAATCCTCCGATGGCAGCGAAGCTTCCATTGTGATGTCGCGGAGGAGCTCAAAAAGCTCGTGAAGCACCGAGAGGACATAGGCAGGTGTGATATGGGGTTTAATCTTAGGGTTTAGGGTTTATAGCATGAATTGGGGGTCCATTTCTGGGAGCGCGTGTAATAGAGACTGTAATATCTTGAGGCCTATCTTAGAGCCCCGCAGTTTATGGAAACTGCCATATCTATGTTCGGAGGGCAGACGATGTTACATCAAGTGTGATAGCTGTATTACACAGGTCACGACTTCTTGTCTTCACGGGTCCTAAATGTAGTGGCAAGCACTGTGTCTTTGTTTTCTTTGTTTCTCAACACAAAGAGTGCACTGGTTATCCCCCTCGTCATCCCGGCCCAAATCAACGACTACCTAAGCGCGAATAAATTCCAACAACATCTCGCATAACCTCTACATAGTCTCACACAATCCCCACATAGTCCCTACATAATCCCACATAATCCCTACATCAATCCCTACATAATCCCAAATATTCCTACGTGATCCCTCCATAGTCCTAGCCCGATAAAAAAAGCCCGGAACCCTAAACCCTGTGTGCAGGTGTCACTCTGTATGGTGCTCAGCAGCAGCTCGCGAAGCTGCAGCTGCAGCTGGAGCAGCTACATGACAAGTGCCCAGCTTTAAGGGGTTGGGGGGTAAGGTTTAGGGGTTGGGGATTTAGGGTTTGGGGTTGAGGTGTTTAGGGTCTAGGTTTTGGGGATTAGGTGTTTAGCGGCTTGGGGTTGAGGTTGTAGGGACAGGGAAGCTCCTACTTCTGCTGCTGAAGGAGCATGTAAGGGCATTCCGATCGCATGGAGACGTATCTTTGCGCGCACTAATGCATGCATCATGCATGCATGATGCACATGCGTGCTGACGTGTGTGACGAGTCGTCTAGAACACCATCAAATTGTAACCAATCATGCACACACTGCTTGTGGTCACTAACCTGTCATGCCCTAAACCCTAAACCCTAAACCCTAAAGAAAGTATTTGCACAACTGCCAGGTATGCAATGGTCCAGGGGAAGCGCCTCGAGGAGAGTCAAAGAAGGGCTCCCACGACTGTGCTAAATTTAGGGTTTAGGGGTTTAGGGTTTAGGGGTTTAGGGTTTAGGGTTTTAGGGTTTAGGGTTCATCTCCATTTCTCTGGGGGTTTATAGGGGTTATATTGGGGTTATATTGGGATAGTGGAAAATAAAATGGAAACTGCTATAGTTACATTGGGGATATACTGGGATGATGGAAAATACAATGGAAACTACTATAGTAACTGGGTAGCCCCCTGGGATATTTTATATCTTCCCTAATGGCTTTAATAAGGGACCCTATATACTAGCATTTTTCAAAGGGTTTTAGCGGCCAACCCAGTTCTGTATCAATGAACCTGTTGCACCGCTTATTCTGGTCGCCCTTGCTGCAGGTTTACTTACTGGGAGTCAGCAGGGAATAAGGGAATCTAATCCTTATATAATCCCCATATAATATATTCCTTGTTCCCTACTGACCACAAATAAGTTGAGCATGGCCATTGCTATTCAGTTACTTTCCCTGTTGTGAGAATTGCTGCTGCGCCAAGCCGAAATCTCTAAACCCGAAAGCTCTCCTTCCAGAATATCATACACCCCTGAATCCCATGAATCCCTTTAAGCCCGAAACCCATCATCATGTGGACGGCCCAGTGCTAAATTAAGAACCTGGCCCGTTTAGCTGCCAGGACGACGAGCAGCTGAAAAACGTCACTGGCGACTGGGAAGGGAAGAAAGTCGAAGTCGAGGAAGCTACGCGAAGGCTAGCGAAATCGCAGGACTCCGTTTGAGGAGGAGGAGGAGTATGAGGAGTAATAGTTTTGGTGCTAGGAATGGTGTTGGTAATACTAAGGGTGATAGTAATGGGAATCGAAATGGTAAACTTGATAGTCATACTCATAGTACAAACAAGAGTGAAGAGAGAGAAAGAGAGAGAGAGAGTAAGAGTAATGGTCATATTAGCAGTAGGAACCATGGAAGCATTCTAATACCCTATAATAACTTTCGTAGTTTCCATTTTCTTTTCCATAATCGCAATATAACCCCAATAAATAGAATTTTGAATATATACATATATATATATATACACCCCATACTACTCTCAGCAGCTTCTGCTGGCTGATAGAGCCCCAGAGTTCCTGATAGCTTTCTAGCTTCAGGTGAGAATTCACAGCATGGCCCCTAAGCCCCCTAGACGCTAAATCCTAACTCCTAAACCCTGAACCCTAAACCCTGAACCCTAAACCATTTTTCAGGACGAGCTGAACCAGCTGAACATCACGGTTCGGCAGGTGCAGGAATATAACGAGCAGATGAAGGCCGAGATCCAGGTCACCCGAAGGGCGACCTACAAGGCTGAGGCCCCTTTGGCTTGAAAAGGAAGCTGCTTCTTGGGGTTTAGGGGGTTTAGGGTTTAGGGGGTTTAGGGTTTGGGGTTTACGGTTTGTTAGCTATCCGCAGTATGAACACTGAAGCGTATGGCTAGTAGGATTACCTTTTGTCGCAAGACTCTGCATCCGAAGAGCTTGGCCCCCTTAACCCCCAAATGCTAGACCTTCAGCCCTAGACCTAAACCCTAAACCCTAAACCCTAAACCCCAATCCCAGGATCACATCAAGCAGATCGAGGAGATGAAGACCAAGCAGGACCTAGGTGGGGAAAAAATCCAACTTATGACCCAGTGAGCTGTGGTCTAAACTCATTAAAGGGGCTTATATAGGGGACTATATAGGGTTTCTAGTATAAGGCTCATGAAGTGGGATACTAGGAAGTTAGACTGTGGCTCAAGCAATGTCCTGTAGCCTCTTCTATTTACTAATGTTCCTACGAAAAATCCTGCATGACCTTAATTATACTATAGTACCATAATTCCCAAGGTATAATGCATTACGGTAAGGGTCATGCAGGATTTTCAGTATCCACCGTATTACAGGTAATACTCGTGTTTTGCAATATGTCTATCTTGCCCCTGAACCCTAAACCCTAAACCCTAAACCCCCAACCGCAAACCCTAAGCCTTGAATCCCTGTCGCATCCCAGTTTCCATTTCACTTTCCGTTTTCTATTCGATTCTCTACTCTTCCAATATGAGCCTATATATCCCTGTATGTGCTATAGTCTAAATAAACTTCCTTCAAGGGTGGTTATATAGGGGACTATATTGGGTTTAGGGTTTTTTTGGTCTAAACTCCTTAAAGGGGAGCTATGTAGGGGGTTATATAGGGTTTCTATTATAGGCTTTATCAGGGGGGATACTAGGAGTTCAGACTATAGCTCATATACATATCTAATCTAAACATCCCTTCATAGCCCCTCGCCATCCCTTTATACCTATAATATATGGTAGGTTTTCAAAATAATCCTCAGGCCCTAAACCAAAGACCTCACTATAATACGGCCCCTCAAATCTAGGGCACCCTAAACGGGACCATACTTTGGACAACCTCACAACCCTGAAGCATAAACGCTAAAGCTAAACCCCGAGCCTTAAAGGCCTCTTCCTGCCCTTCTATATCGTCAAATATGTATATATATATATAGCCTCCCTTAACCAGATGGAATGTGGAAGTATCTAGAACAAAACCGTCATAAGATCCGCATATTGTCACATTCTCTCTGCTTGAGAAGGGACCTTCAACCCTAAACTCTAAACCCTACACCCTAATCCCTACACCTAATCCCTACACCCTAAGCCTTACCTAGTGCAGGACCTGCTCATCGACTCGATGAATGAAGACATCAAGCGCCTCACGGAGCGCAAGGCCCTGAAAAAGCCACAGAGTTTAGGGTTCAGGGTTCAGGGTTTTATGATTTTTTTTTTTTTTTGGGGGGGGGTTTAGGGGTTCAAGGTTAAGGGTATTTAGTGGTTTAGGGTCCGGGCTTGCCAGTCCTCATGTTAAGGAGTTTTTGTTTCCGGCACACTCCACAAAGCTCCCAAACCCTCAACCCTAAACCCTAAACCCTGCAACTGCAGCTCGCCTTCAAAAGGGCTGTAGTCGTTGCAGGGCTGGTTTTGAGGTGCCATGCCACTTTGGGGGAGTATCTAGTTCCAAAGTCATGAACAGCGAAGCTCAAGTCTGACTTAAATTCAGCCACAAAACCCAAAATCCTAAACCCTAAATCCAAAAAACTTGAACTGAAAAACATAAACCCTAAACCAAAAAATCCTAAACCCTAAACCCTAAACCCTAAATCTTAGACCCCAAACCTAAACCCCAAACCTCATGGGATGTCCTACCAGGCCTTGCTGGACGCCCAAATTTCGGCACAGCGCCAGGAGCACGAGAGCCACAGGTGTTCAGAGAGTTTAGGGTTTAGGGGTTTAGGGTTTAGGGTTCAGGGTTTAGGGTTCAGGGTTTGGGGTTTAGGATTTGGGGTTTAAGGTTTTCAGTTTGAATTTTTGGTGTATAGGGTTGGAGGTTTAGGGTTTGGCATTCGGGGTTTTTGGTTCAAGCCTGGGGTTAAAGGTTTAGGTCCATGGTTTGGGGTTTGGTTTCTGGGCTGCAGGGTGCGGGGCTTAGGAGTGTGTTCTAGTCGTCAACATGGAGTAAGATTAGGTGCGGTATTTATAAGAACAGCAGCTGTGATCACGATTTGGGGGTTTCCCAAAATTAGGGGTACCTTATTGGGGGTCCCCATAATAAGGATTATAGTATCTTGGGGGTCTATTTTAGGGTCCCCTTATTTTGGGAAACTACCATTTAGGCTTGAGCCAGTGGTATTTGTGAGAAGGATGTAATCTGGCTGGGTTCAGCCGCCCAACGAAAGCTACTGAGCATAAATTCGTATTCCATTCTCACGGTACATCCCTAAACCCTAAACCCTAAACCCTAAACCCTAGTATACTTGGGATCCTAAACTTTGGCCTTTTAAACCCTAACTGTGCAACATGGGCTGAAGGAGACAGAGGCTGCAATGGCAACGCTCCGGGAAGCGAGTCGTGAGATGGAAGCCATCGAGTTTGAGAAGCATCCTGGCTGTCACTTTTGGGTTTCATATATATATACACATGTATATACACATATACACAAGTTTATGAAACGGATTATCTAGGAGCTATGTTGGGTTATGCTGTACGGTAAGGGTTGCATAGTAACGATGGATCAGAGAATGAAGCTACTGACTAGGGGTTTAGAGATTTTATGGTTTCCCAAAATAGGGGGACCCCACTATAGACCCCAAATACTATAATCCTTATTATGGGGGCGCCCAAAGGTACCCTCCCATTTGGGTTTGGGGTTTACAGCATGAAAATGGACAAATGTGACAACGGGGCGGGGCTTGGAGGATTGGGTTTTTGGGCTGATTTATGGATTAAGGGTTAAGGGTTTAGGTTTTAAGGGTTAAGGGTTTAGAGTTTAGGATGAAGGGCTTAGGGTTTGGGATTGAGGGTTTGGGGTTTAGGAATAAGGGTTTGGGGTTTGGGGTTTAGGGTTTTGGGTTTAGGATTTGGGGTTTGGTATTTAGGGTGTCTCAGTGAGGGGGTGCGCTGGTGCTGGAAGCACCCAGGCGCGCACCCCAACCTGCAGGTCATAGGGTTTAGGGTTTAGGATTAAGGGTTTAGGGTCTAGGATTTAGGGTTTAGGGTTTAGGGGTTTAGGGTTTAGGGCTGGGGTCCAGGGCAGGGCTGGAAGGGATTTGGTTTTTGCTGTCGGCATGCGTTGGCTTTCTGCGTGCCTTTCTTCTCAGGAAGCAGCTCCTGATGCAGTGGAGGCGGGGGATATACCAATAATGGCGAATCAAATGGAAAAGACAATGATGCCATTGAAGTGGGCATCTATCGGGATTACAGTGATGATTACCGAAATTTCTTGCTGGAGTGCTAGCTGACTTGCTGATCACACCCTAAACCCTAAACCCTAAACCCTAAACCCATGCTGCGGAGGTCCTCCTTGGTCGGCATGCAGCGTAGAGACGAGGCTCTGCAAAATGTGCAGAAGGCCTTGGAGGAGCAAAGCGAGGCGCTTTTCTGGTCTGAGGGGTAGGGTTTAGGGTTTAGGGTTTAGGGTCTAGGATTAAGGGTTTAGGGTTTAGGGTTTAGGGTTCGGACTTTTAGGAGTTTGGGTTAAAGTGAGGGCAGATGCCGTCAGCTACCTGCCATTCTGCGAAGTTAGTGCTGATTCCTGACCTCTTGCAGGCAGAGCTTGCTATAGAAAATGAGATCCGTGGGCTTCATTCCTCCATCCGCACCGAGCAGGCACGCTCAGGGTGTAGGGCTTTTTGGCTAGGGGTCCCTTTTAGATATACAAAAGGGGAATTACAGTCCCAGCAGCATTCAAGGTATTTCAAGAGTCATGGGCAGTGTCTTCGTGCCGTTTACAGTGCCCCATCTAATGTATCTGGGTAAAGACCTAAACCCTGAACCCCAACGGGCACTATCTTTGCAAGTCCAGATCACAAAGCAATCCCTATATCATCCTCAAGCAGGATCCCCCCAGATCTCTTGGTCATCTCTTTCTATCCCGGGCGTCCCCTCCGCCTGACAACCTCCCCCACCCCCTTAATAGCAGCCCCACTAATATGGTTTAGGGTTTAGGGTCTAGGGAATACTATTACGGGCGGGGGAGGTGGTAAGGTAGTTTCCCTTTTCCATTCCCCTACATACCCCTATGCAACCTTTCTTGGTTTTGGGCGGAAGTGATTGCTCCTCTATATCTACGGGAGTTACAGGAGGGGAGTTACCATGCAGGGACTGCTTATAAGCCGTATATGCCTGTTATGTAACTCCCGCGGTCGCTATAACCCTATACCCTATAATCCTCAGCCCTAAACCCTATAACCCGAAAGCCTAAACCCTATGAGTCATAACCCCAAAACCTAACTATGTATCATACAGGGTTCTATAGAGGTTGTATGGGGATTATATAGGCATTATCGAGGGGTTATGTAAAATGGAAGAGAGCATGGAAAATTGCATGTTACCGGGAGGGGGTGCTCGAGAGACACCATTTTGATGACTGTTGACTTTCGGCACTTTTGGCATGCCACTTTGTTTACAAGCTTTCAGAAGTGCCAACAACCACAGAGAATTAACAGTTTGGGGCAGTCTTGTTACTGTGGTCGGCTTTGCATTCAAATGCTTCCACTTTCCTATAGGTGAATGCGTATAGGAACGTTACATGATCCCCATGCTATGTAAACTTACCGATGCGCTACATGTTGCTTAATATCCTGAAGCCTCCCACCCACCCGCACGCACAGAAGGGAGGCGGCACAACCCTAATGAAGACCCCACATCATTCTTGCCCCAGCAAGGGAGGGGGCAGCAAGCATGTGACCATGTGACAATGCAGAGTTAAAACGCCCTGGCGGGTTCTAAGGGCACTGCTACCCTAACCCTCCATAATCCTCATATGCTCCTTATTTTATGTCTTTGACCCTGAAACATAAGCCCTACCCTAACCCTTAGCCCCAAACCTAAAATCCTAAACCCTAAACTCTAGACCCTAAACCCTAAACCTTCAACCCTAGACCCTAAATAGTAGTTTCCATTTTTTCCATTATCCCATAAACCCAATTTTTCAGAAACCGGCGGTGACCTGCCAGGAGAGGCACGAGCAGCTCTGTGCACTGAGAGCCGCGCGCCAAGCCCATCTCCGACATGCAAACATGCTTTTGGTTTAGGGGGATTTAGGGCTTAGGGTTCAGGGCTTAGGGTTTAGGGTTTAGGGTTTAGAGTCCAGGGTTTAGGGCTTAGGGTTCAGGGCTTAGGGTTTAGCGGTTTAGGGCTTATGGGTTTAGGGTTTACATTGGGTTCAGGGTCACTATAGGGTTGAGCGGTTAGGGCGTTTACTACTTAGGTGGATCCCCTGAAAAAAATCTAAGAACCTTAGGGTTCCTTCATGACCGTTGATGCAAGAAATCTTGCATGATCTCATTATGCTGTAGGGTACTGCCTCCCCTCAGTAACAGTTGGATAATAAATATATTAGGGTTATATATAGCCCTTAATAGGACCCCTAATATAGACTGTTACTGGGTGGGGGCAGTACCCTATTATGCTCTTTAGAGGGGTCAGTGTTAATGGTTTACATGGGCTCACCGGGTGCAGTGTGGAAGGGTTTAGATCCTGTTGATACTGGTTTAGGGTGTAGGGTTTGTGGTTTAGGGTTTAGGGTTTAGGGTTTAGGGTGACCTGATAATACTACAGTTCCCAAGGCATCAGGTACTTGGGGTCATGCAGGATGCTTAGCATGCTCCGCAGGATTCAGCTCTAACTGGTAACAGGCCTGTTCAGCTTCAATATATTCTGGGTTGCGATGAAGGAGCTTAAGTCCCTTTGAAGGGGCTGTGGGGAGTATATTTCCGTCGAGATCATGTAGGGTTTGGGGTAGCGTTACCCTGATGGAGAATCAAATGGAACAGGAAGTGGACAATTCTATGGAAACTGTGTGTGTGTGTGTGTGTGTTTTTTCCTGGGGGATGATACTATGGCTCTGGGGAGCTTGAATGAAGTTACCATAGCAAGGAGGCCACATTATTTACCAGATGTATATATATATATATATGTACACATGCGGTCACTTAGTTGACATCCTTTAACAGCAGCCCAATCTATTTCTGGGGTACTGCCCCCACTGATTACCAGTTGGATAATGATTTTTTCTGTAATAATAGTATAAGTATATACAGCCCTTACTATTACCCCTATAACGGACTGTCAAGGAGTGGGCGCATGACTCAATCTGTTTCCAAGGATCGAAACGAGAAGGAGATGCAGAACTTGCAGTCTCAAATGACCAGTCTTAAGCAAGAGCGGGAGAAGCTGATGGACCAATACACCACCTTGAACAAGAGCCCCTTGTCAATTCTCACCTGAGCTGTAGTCTCACTCCTTAAGGGGGTCTATTAATATAGAGGAGTATTATAAGGTTTTTAAGGGGGATACTTGGAGTTTAGACTATGGCTCGCCTGGCCTGCTGCTAGTGGCCATACTTTGGATAGCACAAAGGGGATTGAAGAATGATATAGTGATGGTAACTTAATGGTTCAAGCCCCGAACAGCAACCCAGTCACATCGATGGATTGAGCAATCAAGATGCACAGGTCCTGTTGCGTATTCGGTGGATGCGTACACATCTCGTTGCGTTGGCATATCTGAGGCATGGATGCGCATGTCGAAGAGACACAGAAGCTGAAATCCGCCATCACCGAGCAGACTAGATCCATGGAAGTGCTCGAGCGGAACATGCAGACCGTGTCCCGCGAGATTACCTCCATAGTAGGCAAAATTGAGGAGGCCGGAATGGATTCATGCTTGATTCTATCTGGAGATGCCCTTTCCAAACAAAGTTGCTGTGGGTGTTGCAGGAGCAGAGCGAGCAGACAACGTGCGAGCGTGTCACGGCCAACAGTCGAGGGCTCGGTCAGGGCTAGGACTTTCATCAAGACGGTCCCCGAAGTTGTTTGATGAGTATGGCCAATGTTGACATAGTCGAGTCTCCCGACATACCATCCTTTAAATGCAGATGACCTCCTGCTGCTGCTGCTACTGCTACTACTACTACTACTACTACTACTTGCAAGGACCCTCGGGGTTTCAGACAGATTTCGTCTTAAGCGGACTTGCTGTCATACCCCTTATAATACCTACTATAATAGTGTCCATTTTCTTTTCCATTATCCCTAAATCCTAAACCCTCTTATTCTCCAATATTACCCCAATGGCATACCCTTTTGATAGTTTCCATTTTCTTTTCCATTATCCCTAAATCCTAAACCCTTTTATTCTCCAATATTACCCCAATGGGGCTTCCTCAAGGCCACAAGAGGATGAAGAAGATTCGAGAGGAGATTGCTGCCAAAGAGGCCGTTTGCAATGGCACACCTATTTAGGGTTTAGGGTTTGGGATTATGGGGTTCAGGGTTAAGGGTTTGGGGTTTGGGGTTTAGGGTGTCTCAGTGAGGGGGCGCGCACCCCGACCTGCAGGAGCCCACCCCCGCTGGCGCTCCACCCTCGCCTCAACCTTTTACGGGCTTAGGGTTCTCTCGAACTCCGATCGTGCTCCTGTCTTCTTATTTGTTTGTGCACCGGTCTAGACCGTATAGACCAGGCGGGTGCAAGGTTTGGTTGGGTCTGGCTCGAGGCTTCTTGCTTGGAGGCCTGCAAGCCTTGAGCCAGCTGGACCTGTCCAGACCATACAGGTGCAAGGTTTCTTTAGGCCCCTGGACACCCCCAGATGCCTGCCGGGCCCTGCTGCGACCAGCCCAAAGGTTTGGGGTTCCTCCGCCAGCGAGTGGAGCTCCGTCGCCAGCCGGAGCGGCCTCGTTTGCCGGCTTCGGCCCGTTCGCCCTGCTCGACGGCCCCAGCTCACTCAGTTTAGGGTTTTGAGTTTCGGGTGTAACTGTAGGGTTCTAGGATTTAGGGCTTAGGGTTTGGAGTTTGGGGTGATAGGATTTGGGATGTAGGGTTTAGGGTTTTGGGTTCAGTGTTTGGGGTTTGGGGTTTAGGGTGTTTGAAGCGTGTGGCTGTAAGTAAGATGGCGCTTAATGCTTCTTCATACTATGCAAGACCAAAGTCTGGGTTGCTGTTAAGGGAACTTAAGTTAAGTGACCATAATATAGGAGGCTTTTAAACCCTAAACCTGAACCGCCCAGAAATGGGATGCGCTCTGATTTGCTGTAGCCCTCATTATCATTGACCCGTTCCGCAATCATCTGCAAACTCGGGAGTTATCTCCGTATATAACCCTATACATCCCCATATATCCTATATAATCCTATGTAATCCCTATCAATCTGGATTCTTGGACAAATTCTGCCAGGTGGAGACGCAGAATCTACTCAACGAAATCGCGCGCGTGACGGTGGATAGCTTGAACACCAAAGCTCACAACCAGATGCTGAAAGACCGGCACAAGCAGCTGAGCCGTGGCCCCAGGGCTGCGGATGATGTAGCGTCTTCCTGCATGCTGTTGTCAGTGGGCAGTGGAGACTGAAATGGCAACTGAAACGGAAACTGGGGTTTATGGGGATACATGGGGTTGAGGGTTCAGGGGAAGCATGACTGACTGCTAACCTTCAAGCAGGACGTGCTTCAGACCTGGCTAGCCCCTCGTCAAACCCTGATATAGCACTCCCTCCTCCATGGCATCTTTAAGATCTAAACCCTAAACCCTAAACCCTAAGATCCATATGTTAAAGCCTAAACCCCTGGTATCCATCCCCGAAACCCTCAATTCTGAAACCTATTTTCAGGCGATGAGCTAGCAGACAGGGAAAAGCTGATCGAGCAGTATGAACCTCGACTGCATAGGGGGATGCCCAAGTTTCTCAATATCTCCTATAGGTAGAACGGAATCCCCACAATGCCCTCTCAGTCCTCAGGTATCCCTTCGTTGCCTAAGTAAAGCCCAGGCCCGAAATGAGTAGTATTTAATTTGGGGATACTATGGTACCCAATATAGAGTAAGATTATATCCTCCTTTTGGGGTATAGTATTTTATATAAGAAATGTTATCTTACTGGGTTTAAGCACCAAAAAAAACGCTACTCAAATGGAACCGGGACAGGTTCTAAGTCAGCCCATGCAAGCTGCATGGTCCCAGGAGCAGGAGATTCGGAAGCGACACCATCAGATCGAAAAGAAGCAGCTATTTGTGGATCGCCTCAACAGGGAGTATGATGAGAAGAGGCAACGGGGAAAGGCTGAGTGGGAAGCTGTCCCCACCTTGCCAAAACTGTCAAAACTGAATCCTAAACCCTAAGTCCTAAAATCCTAAGCCCTGATTGGGGGGTCCCCCTTAATTATACATTGGGGATCCTGAAGAAACCCAAAGCTCTCTATAGCTCGATACATACCCCTAGGGTTCTATGGTTATTATATTGGAGAACCATATGGAAAAGAACACGGGAAATGAAATGGAGACTATCTAGGGTAGAGGGTTTCCCAAAATTGGGGGGCATAACTTTTTGGGGGTCCCTAAAATAAGGACTATTGTATTTTGGGTCTATATTGATCCCCCTATTTGGGAAACTACCATAAATCCTACGCCCTAAATCCTAAACCCTACACACTAAACAACTTTAAATCCCTTGGAGGGGACCTTTAGTTTCTGCAGGACGAAGCTGGAAGCAGAGCTTGGAAATGACGAGGATGTTGCTGGGTTGCTATTTAGGAACTTTTTCAAAGTTGTCATAGTAAGGGAACCCCATTATTTATAATAGATACATTGTGGTAACTTAAACCCTAAACCCTAAACCCCTAAACCCTAAACCCCTAAACCCCTAAACCCCTAAACCCCTAAACCCTAAGCCCTAAGCCCTAAACGTTCCTTAACAGCAACGCAGGTTGCAGGTCCTCAGGAGGCCAAGTTGAAGCACATGCGAAGCCCTCAGCTATTGCTTTACTGGGTTGCTGTTAAGGAACTTAAGAGCTTAGGGTTTAGGGGTTTATGGGTTTAGGGTTTAGGGTTTAGGGTGTAGGGTTTAGGGTTTAGGGTTTAAGTTAAGTTACTATATTGGGGGGGGG